AAATAATGGTGATTCTTCATCTTCAAGATTATGAATGAGATTAGTAAGGATTTATCAATAAAAATAGTCTTACAATCAACTAATAAAGTATGAAAAATACCGGTATAAAATTGAAACTGACTTATGATTAATTTACTGAACGCAATAATCTTGTTTGGATATGCAATTCCTTTTTTTAGATAATTGCTAGATATACAAATTTTCAAATTCCAGAACAAATATTGATATTAATTAAAGAATAAATGCTCAGTAAAAAGTTAATATGTCAATTATAGCTACCTCAAGATTGATTTGAAACTTTGTATGATCCAATGTAAAATATTAAAAGGCTAATATTATATAAAATCAAAATGAAGAACTTAACAAAAATATTAAACTTTTATAAAAATTAAACCAATAATCAATCCTCTTTATACCAACTTTACAATTGAACCGAGAGTACAGACTGTAATCCACAATATAAGAGAAGTAGTGATAAGAGTAAAAATTTTAAATTAAAAAAAAAAAACAATTATGCAGATTCTGAACTGTCCTGAATGGATTTGATACTTCCAAGCACTTCTCTTGTGTTATCACTAAATCAAATCTATTTAATATCTAGAAAAATACATAAAATAATGCTAACGAATGATTACTGGAATATAAGATCAAATCTTATCAATAGTAAGTAACAGTTGTGGCAAAATACAAGTGAACACACATTCTGAGAGATCATAAACCGCCCCATAATTTTTGTGCATTAATATAGGAAGGAAGAAGACAAAAAGAACATTATTCATTGTAAGTCCTATCAATATATCACTACCCAACGAATCACTGATAATTCTACTCACTTTCAAGTCAAAAGGTAAATAAGTTATTTTCTTCTTATGTATTCCAGTAAAAATCAAATTTATTCCATTATTTTTACTTACTTATTATCAATTTTTAAGCGCAAATTATCAATTACTAAGAATTTTTTAAAATTCTTATCATTTTAATTATACTGTTTACCAGTGAGACCTAAGAAAATGATCAATGAAAGTATAGAATAATCTTTAAGTCAATATGCTATGAATGTGAGAAACTGATAATACTAAAGCAAAATCTGTTTGAAATATTTTTCAGTGCTAAAGATTGCTTACTGGAAGCTAACCAATAAATCAAATACCAAAATACCCGAAATTGGAAGTAACACAATTTATTGGATTAGTACAACGTTCAAAGACAAATTATTATCCGCTCAAAACCAAAATAATTGATGACAATTATGGTATCTTTCTGAAATTTTGTAATAATTTGATATTACAATTTAAAAATTAGCAAATGCAAATGCAATCTATTTGCTGAACAAATCGATTTTAAACAAATATAAGACTTTGAAAGTAATTTGCATGAGTAAAAAATATCGTTATTATTATTTTATTATTATTATAGCAGTTATTGGCGGCAACTTTTTTACTTATTCAATATTCATTACACAATTAAATATTTCTAACTCTAAAAATAATTACTAATTTTTTATTTGTAGTAAATTTTAGGAGCGAAAAAAGCTTTTGCTTTTACTATTACTGACATATTTTTGGATGTATAACACAAAGAGTGAACATAATCCGATAACCTTGAAACAAAGGTCGAGCAAACATTTATCAACAGAAGAATCAACACAAGACTTACTGCTTGATATTCCCAAATATGAGCTATGGAATGGTGATAGTAGTAATATGGAAGTAAATAGTCCGATACATACTTCGAAAATAATTGATGAAAGAAAGCAAGAAAACGAGAAATCGAAAAGAAGCAAAAATGAATTTAATTCTGAGAAGTCTTTTTCATCCTTTCAGAAGCTTAAAAGTATACGTGCAAAACATTCAACTGATAACCTCCATGACTCGAATACTAATTTTTCTTCGAATCTAAACGATTTTGATGTGAAAGAAACTACAGAAGAAATGAAAGAATATTATTCAGTGTTATCGTCGCTATTAGATTTATTAAAGGATAAACCGTTTTTTAATGATTCCGAACCACTAGAATCAGGTGTAGTAGTTGATGAACATCCTACGGTAGGGATATTAGAAGATCATGAATCAAATTGTAATGACAATGAACGATTTACAGAATGTTCACGATGTGAAATGACCTGTGCTGGAAATGATAGTGTTAGTATAGACTTATTTTATCTTCCAATGATATAAAAGTTCTAAAAATAATAAACAAAAGTTTTAAGGCCTTAAATTTCATACTGAGATATTATCTATATTCAAAATTTGCATTTGAGATTCGTAACAATCTGATGTAATTATTTTGTAGATTCCTTGCTCATTTGAATGCGGTCCACCAAAATGTGAATGTCCAGCATCACAAGGTTTTGTACGTAAGAAAGATGGACAGTGTGTTCCTATTAATCAGTGCGACATCGGTATGATTTTCTTTGTTTTAAAAGAAGAATACAATTTTCAGGTTCAAAGTTGAAGTTTTACTACATGAAATATATAAAACGAAGGTAAGAGTTACACAACGATTACTAGATGAGAAACATATTAGCGCTTTATCATGAACAGAATTTGGAATTGAACATGTGGTTTATGCTCAGTCACAATAAACTGCACTACTGCAAACTCTACACGTAACCCATACATATGATATCTTTTTTTCTACGTATGTTTCATCATTTGTGGAATGAAACGTCAGTTGACTGAAGTTTAGTGATTTTCCGATTTAACATGATAAAAATTCAGTTCGTCAGCTCAATGAAAAAATTTAATTACTTTATTGCCTGTCTTCTACTGTACTAATCTATTATCTGATAATAAGCTTCATATCTGTTCTTCATTAAGTAAAAACGTGATACTGATCTATCTATTACCTACGAAGACTGGCGAAAAAAAAAGAGAGAAGTCACCATAATCAATGATTAATTTGCTATTACATGCGTGGAAGACAAAATTTTGAATAACAGAATCCTCAAGGATTCTGAAAGCAGTCTCGAAGTACGATTTTATCATTCAAAGGAAGATAATGAAGAAGTTGATTCAGTCTATCAGATGAAATATCTGTAGAGAATTGAAATAGTCTTTTTCGAAAAAGACAAGCCAAAAAACAAAAATGGCAGCAAATCCTGAACAAGAAATACAAATGAAACCCTGAAAAAAAAGATGAAGTCATCTGTTATCTTGAAGCGATAAAAATACGAACAAGAATACTTGTTTGCTTCTGAAGAAGAATAAGCGGTTAATAGAAAAAAGAGGGAAAATAATTATTAAATTCGCGGTAATAAAAAGGAAAGAAAATATAAATTTGACTGAACAACGGTAGTTGCCTGTAATATTCAAATTACGAGAGATATCATTGAACGAGCAAATCACAAGTCAAATGGATGGATGGTAAACAACACTTCATAATCAAAATTTATTAGATGCAGACAAATTAGACTACTACTTGTTACTATCATGTTTTAAAAGGTGATAGTCGAGAAATGTATTCGGAGTTACAATAAGCCAACAGAAAAACTAGCGGATAGATGTTAATTTCATTTATAAAGAATTATGGAGACTGTGATAGCCAAAATGCAGTACAAAAGTTGATATACACACGGTTTTTAATGTAAGGATTATTGAATTGAATCCAGATACTTGATGAATCTGCATGAATAATTCATAACACTGTAGCAATTTGAAGCTATAAGTTATGATAGGGAGCTAGTTAGCACTCTAAATGTTATTGAGCACATAATAAAGAAGATACCAGAAGATATGCTTCATCAATTCAAAGTAAACTTGAATATAATTTTAGTACAAGATATGAAGTTATGAAGGCATAAAGAAGAGAATCAACAATTAGAGATTAACAATAGAAAGGTTTAACATACCAAACGAGATAATAAGCGAAAATTCACTACATGTGATTTCAATAAAGTCTAAAGTCTAGACGTATTTTCAATTATTTAAGTCGAAGTACTAGCGGATACCAAGATGAAATAAGAATTTACCTTTGTGCTGCTATTAAGTAATTAACGCATCAGTCAGAATAGAATTCAAAGGTGTACTAAACATGACGTTTAGTCAAAAATGCAATTATATGCTAACTATAAACGCATATCTAGCAGTTTCTCTAATTAAAAATAAAGAATTTCCACTTCATAGACGTAATCTGCCGCAAAACTGTTTCATAAAGTCTCGAAAATGTTTGCATAAAGTAATCCTAACTTAAATTATTACTTCATAGAGTAATAGTGATTCCTATTGGTAAGTATTAAAAAAGCTAGAAATCTCACGGATGGCATCATTTTACTAATGTTACGCTTCATTCAACTTTTATATTTCCAGAGCTGCAGTGTCCTGATAACGAAGAATGGACTTCGTGTGGTGGATGTGAACCAAACTGCTGGGAAGAACAGAAGATTTGCGGAGAATACTGCGAGGAAGGACGATGTCAATGTAAAACTGGAATGGTACGGAATCATCATGGAAAATGTGTACGTTATGCAGAATGCATTTCACAGTGATATTGATAAATTTAGATTTTGTTCGAAAATAATCAAATTAGTACATTATAAGCTGCAAAGCAATGCAGATGACAATTTAATATACTACTAGACAGAAAAAGATACTATACACATGAGAACGGAACTTAATATCAATATTAAGATTTCTTAATGGATTCTGATCTTGTCAGTTTTAGAACAAATAGCTACAAAGTTACTGAGTTGCACTGAAGTCCAAAATACTTTATTGTCTTAATGAAAAGAAAAAAAATCAAAATTAAATACAGATAAGTTGATCACATAAAATGATTATAAGACGTTTTATCACAAATTCGCAAATCCGCTGTTCTCAAGTTTCCGTTACAAGAAAATGAATCAAGGTATATTAGTCATTCAAAGCACCAGCTGTGTTTAGAAACGCCACATCAAGCACACAAAACGTAGCTCGACAAGTTGGACATTGAGCTTTGCCAGGTAACCATGACTCTGGATGATATGGGTCTTGCTTGGACAGAAAAATACGTCCCATACAACTATCACACCTTAAAAAGCGGATAGAGATAAATGAGTCCCTTCATGATTTTTAACTTTGAGAAGTAATAATCTGATCATTAACAAATCCAGACCCTGAATTTATTGTGACATGTATGAAACAGTTGATTAATAGTACAAAAATCAACATACCACATAGGTTTACAGTAGCACTGAGTACACTGAGGTCTTGGTCTTCCTTGATCATCTACATCGTTTTCAGCATAATCCAAACACTGCTTCCATAATTTTATATTCGAAATTTCTGTGCAACAACCCAAACATGGCTCAAGGCGCTAAAAAAAAAAATCATGTTATGACTAATTAAATTAAAAAGAGATAGTTTAAACCGACTAATTTGAAGAGTTAAGTGAACGCTTCTACGATACAAAATATCCTACACAAAAATCGCTATTTAAACTTTTAGATAAAAATGAGTTAGACTAAATTATGCACAGCATCAGAAGGATCGATTCCGACGAATTAAATGACGATTTACATTTACTTGTGTAAATGTCTATTTTGATTCTTTACATGATATATATAGCTGACTGCAGAAATAAAAATGTGCGGAAAAGCTAAATTAATTTGCTAACAAAAGCTTTAACCAAATAATTGCCAAAGATGTACAAAAATGAAAAGCCTGACCTATTTATCATGCAATATATAGAAATTTTAAGCAAACGAAGTCGAATATTCTTAGTACGGGTATGAAGTCAAGTACTACATAGTAAAAGATTGAGTAGTCTGTCAAGTACATATTACAGTAACATATTCTAAACACTTTAAGAATTTGATATAGAATGTAATAACTGAATGTTGATTTAATTTGTTCTGCTACGATAGACAGCTTATGAAAAAATGCACATATTTTTCAAACCTGCACTTCATCATAATCATATTTCAAGTTATGAGCGATTTGCTTCGTAAAAACTTCAATGAAACATTCATTAAGTGACTGTTTTAATACGATTTCTCGAGCCACTGCTATGGGTCTATTTAGCTTATTACGTAGATCACGAAATGATTCTGTTCGTATCCTACAAAAAAAATAATATGTGAATGGTAAAGTAATGTAATTGTGAAACAAAATATGAAATTACTTTGTTTTTATAGATTTCAGATTAACTGTAGTTTAATAAAAATTCTGTCAGAAAGACTTCATGGAAATGGAATAAAATGAATAAACCTGATGACAAATGGTTCAAAACACTCAGTAGTACTTTTCACGCATATATTGACAAATTGCGTGGAACCACTGCTTTCCAAGTGGTGCGAAATCTGCAGTAAAAAAATTTGACAGATACATATTTTGAATAGGATAAAATTTTACACAATAAATTTTAATTTTACCGATAACAAATACAAAATGTTAAGTGCTTTTATACTTCGATTGCACAGAATATAAGATTCTAGATACGGATATAAAAGTAAAAAGTAAAAAAATAAATAAATGTAAATTGAGTTTTACTGGATGCTCATCTGCTTTGATAGCTTCTAGAACAACATCACCCACTTGTGCACAAGTTAAAGAATAATTAGTTATGTTTAGAATCCATGAAGATGTCATTACAACGCGATCTATGCCTGTAATATCAAGATAACAAAATAGTAAAAATAAATGATAAGAATGGAATAGTTGAAAATGAATGTTGCAGGAATACAAAAGACTAATTAACCTGTGAGAGTGATACTTAACGTTTCTAAAGTATTCCGATACTCTCTGTTAATTGATTCAGCTATTCCATGCCAACTGATTTCATTATTTCCAATATAACGTTTTAAATGACGTACAGTGGAATGACTATCAAATTTATTACACAAATGTCGAAACATTACTGAGGCTGACACTGAAATACCATAATGCTCATCACTGAAAAAACCTTACACTGAGAATTATAAACCTTCAAAATGAACACCATAACTTGACTGAAATTTGTAATAAATACTCTTTTTTAATAAAAATGAAACGTATTTTTAATTTTTTAAAATGTGATAAAGATCTAAGAGGTAGTATAAATGGTAGCAAAAAGTGTTACCAAAAGCAATAACAATGGATAAGTGAGCACATAACTGCAAAATAGTTTGTGGCTTAAGGACAAATACTGTTTCTTGTAGAACCACCGATAAATAGACAAAATACACTGTAAATAACAACAAAATAATTACCATGCATATAGAGCAAGAAGTACAAACTGAAATTTCTATAAACTATTTTAATGAATAATTACTATTCTCAAAATAGTAGTAAAACTAACACTCTAATTTGCTTATTATAAATGCATTTTAAATAAATAAAACATAGTTTTTCTTTGTAAAAAATACAATAAAAAATAAATTGCATAAAGTAAAAATCAACATAATGGTAAGCATAAATGGATAAAGCGCGTTAACACTGTCCTTCTCAAATGATAACCAATAAAGTCATCCTTTTCTCTGCCCAAATATTTCGAAAATAACGCTTGAATCGTGAAACCAGCACGTTGGAATTCTACCGGTGGATACATAATACATACAGTGAATAATAAAAGTAGTATAGTATGCAAGAGAAAGTCTTGAATATTTATTACCATTTTTCTAAATTTATTACTTATAACAATTGACAAAATTCAGCTCCTTTTAATTACCATCTTACTTCAACAATACCAAGTGCTCCTTTACTGCTAGCTAGCTAATATGTAATTTACATATTTTGTAATGAGAAAACAAAGTTACTGAAATGCCATTCTCTTTTATACTCTTAAATCTATGAAATTTAAATAATAATAAGTTTAATTCATGAAATTTAAATAGCAATAAGCTAATAAAACCTGTATTAAATTCTATGGGATTGCTATTTTCATAGTCATGTGTAGTAATTAATGGTTTAGATGTAAACATTGAATTGAAGAGCAAAGTAGTACCTGCAGAGATCGTTTTGTAAACTTGTTTTGAAGATGATAGTATAGCATTTGTTCATTCTATAATTAATTTAATTAAGTGATCAAGAATACTAATAGAAATAGCTTGATGTTTATTAAAACTATTCGTGAAAACTGATTAGTTCATTGTCGTATTGTTAATTATATTGAAGGCTAAGCTGTACAATTTGAAGTAACTCTACTTAGATTTGATCAGTAATTGATCAAGATAAATTTGAATAAATAATTTGTTAGTATCGCTTTTTAAAGATTAATATGAAGAGTAGTAGGCCGTTAATTGTGTATGCTATATCAAACTTTGGTTTTTTAAATTCAGATATGTATAAAACTTAATATATGTATTGCTCAAAAACTGAAAGTAACGAAGGATTATTATTCTTATTTTACGATTCTGTTGCGTATTTGGTTCTGTGTTATTTGAAAACATACTCAAGTGCTAAGATAAATCAAATCAGAATGATTGTCGTTAAGATTTTATAAACATATTTGACTGCATCAGTTTTAATTCTATTTTCAGGCATTGCAAGAATCATTGGTATGTAGAGATGAGCAAAAAAGAAAATGATGTGCTTTTATCTGTCTTGTTTGGTTCAATTTCAGGATTATTGGGGTCATTTTTTATTCTTATTTTTCAACATTGGGCAATGTTTGCTTTTTTCTCAAAAATCAGTGCTACTGTTTAAAAAGAGGAAGTTTATTAAAGCGATGCTAATTATTTTTCAATATGATTGTTTCTTATAATTTTGCTTCTTGCTTTTGATATTCTTGCTATAAAATTTGCACAACAATAGTGCAGCAGCAAAATCAAAAATTTCTAAATGTTATGCTTTCTCAAGCAGAACTGTAATATTTTAAAACTACTGTTATTATTATAGTCATTTGTAATACGTCAGTAAAAATAATTCGTTCAAGAAGAAGTATGTTGTTATTTAAGACTGTGAAATTCTAGTTCTGTATTGCTGCAACCACTTGATCGCCTGAAAACTTTAGTACAACAAGATACCAATATTCCAGTTAATTCATTTACTCAAATAAGAGCAGTCGTGAACAGTCATGGGATATTTGATCTCTGGCGTGGTACTTTGCCGGTATATTTTTATCAAAATAGATATTTCATCATGAGTTATTTTTTCATTTCACTTGTTAAAAAGTGTAAAATTGTAGTAGAGCATTTCAAAAATTTTGAGTAATATGTTTTGCTTTATAATTTTCTGACTGAATTTTTTTCATGTATTGAATGCTGAAAATTTGTGCTGATTATTGCTTCTGTAATTTCCTAGACTCTACTGCGTGTCGTTCCTGGTGTTGCATTGTATTTTGGTTGTTTGCAAATAGGTCAGAATATAACGTCGCATCTGGAAAATACGTATCATAAGAATTTTATTTTGGGCTCGTTATCCCGTACTGTCGCAGCTCTGCTTCTTATGCCAGTGACAGTTATCAAAACTCGTTTTGAAGTAAGTTAAAAGTTGTAATTGCTTAGTTTGATAATGACTCAGTACTGTACCTTTTTTGTTCTACAATCTAGGTTACTCTTCATTCACTAGTAGTAGTTTTATTCATCTCTAAAATTTAATTTTCGTTTTCTTTTGTAAGAAAAATGTTGCATACGTATCGTAAAAATTTTAAGTGACTGTTATCAAAACTCGTTTTGCTTTATCATTGATATTTTTTCGTGTTTTTGTAATTGTTTAGTAAGCTACCGATGCTTTTTATTTCAAAGTATTTTCCTATACGGAAACACATGGAACTAAAATAAGTTGTCATTGCAGAGTAACTTGTACAGAGATGCTGGTATGAAAGCAGCAACGAAGGAACTATTTCGCCAGCATGGCTACAAAGGTCCACTTTAGTTCCAATCTCTCAGCACATGTTTGTTATGTCTGCATTTATCCAAATGTGAGGCTTTAAACTGGCTACCTTTTTATGCTGTTTTTCTTGCTTATTGTCGCGTTGCTGGAAATTATGTAGTAAAATCAAACATGTATGATATAATGGGCTTAATTTCATAAGTTGGAGCTAGCATATGACTGTAAAGTAGCTGTTAATTTGGTAATTTTTTGCATTCATGACTTGTCAGTTTTTAACTAAAGTTTTGTCGATAATTGTAGGTTTGTATCGAGGAACCGTCCCAACATTGTTGCGTGATGCTTCATTTTCAGGCATCTATCTTGCTTTTTATCGGAAAAATTTAGATTTTTTTTGTAAAGGTGATTCTTATAACCTCAGTATTATTTCCAGTTACCCTTTAAAATGGGAATTTATTTAGAAACAAACGTTTCTCTATTTGTACTACTTGGAATTCATTTTAGAAATATATTTCAGGCATATTTATTAATGGTATTTCGCGTTACATTTGATTGCAGATAACAGCGTTCATGCACCAAGTGAGCGGTTGATTAGTGGTGTGAGTGCTGGCATATGTTCTTGCGTTATTACTCAACCTTTTGATTTAATAAAAACGCGCATACAGCTTTACCCTTCGCAATCACTTAGTCGACTTATCTCAGAGTTTTACCATGTATTTTTTTTCCTTTGAATTCAAAATTACTGCGCACACAAAATACATTTTAATTGATTAAAGTAAGATATGATAGTTTTCTGATCAAATTAAAATTTCTGATAACGTTCTTGATCAGTATTAACAATGAAATATATGAGTGTATAGTTTAATATTTTAGCATATAGTCAAGGAAAAAATGATTGCATTTGATTGTTTCTTATATCATTTTGAAGTGTAATTACAGTTGAAATGTACTATTGTAGAAGGGCAGTTTCGCGACGTTGTTCAGGGGATTTCTGTTTCGTTCACTCCGGCGTACATTAATGGCTGCCATTAGCTGGACTTTATTCGATGAGGTATGGTTAAGATCTCGTGCATCAAAATAGTTGAGTAGAAGATGTGGTTGATGAGCAGTTGTTACTAATTTTTATATAAGTAGAGAATTCATTATTTTTTAGCTATCTGTGAAGCGGCATCAAGATTATTTAAAAGTCAACAACAGCAAACAGTGGTGACTTTTATATCACTGCAGCGTCACAAAGTGCAGTGCTAATGATGGTTGATGATATATAATTTGCGAAAGTGTTGCATGAAAAACAAGATCCTAGGGTACCATTATGAAACATAACTGATCTTGTTTTGGATATTTGTGTAATTTGTTTGGTTTTCAGAAAATGCTTTGTCATTGCTGGCAATTAGAGTTATTATTGTAAGTTGTTATTGCTATTATTGAGAGCAGGGGCTTTAATTTTCTGTTACATTCAGTGATAATGAGATTTCAGAATATACCTAGCACTAAGAAATCCAATTTATCTTGTTTATTCGGTGCATTATGGGTAATTTTACTTCATACCAGTGTTTTTCTAATGTATTATGGGTATTCATTTCAGTTCTATGATTTACATATTCTATGATGATGTAATAATTCCATCGCTCAAGTAACTTTTATCAAAACTTGTCTGCTTGAATGCATTAGTATTTTCACTCAATATTTTGCTCATTGTAGATAAGAGTATGAGAGTGAAAGGACTGACTGACTGTTTGCGTCAGTTAATGCGAGTGCTGTGTTCGGTGCTGAAGATCGGTCTGAAAAGGAAGTACTCAATCCGATGTGTCTTCTTCGCGCAAGCTTTCTTTCACTGATGGAGCATCTATTGTTTTTCGGCGCTATTTCTTACCATCTTGTCTATATCCACATGGGCGGAAGAAATTTTGCATTGTGGGCGTGGCATAAACTGCATGCTGTGGTTGTGAAATTGTAGCTTGCAGTAACTGCGAAATTTGCACGTGCTAGTGGTGAGGTTTTGGTTCTGGTTTGAGAATGTTGTTGTTGTCGTTGTTGTCGTTGTGTGCTGGTTTGACCTTTCATTGGTTTAATTATGTCAAAGAAGAAGGAAGAGAACGCTTGTATATGGCGTATGTTTGTGCTGGAGGTAGAGAGAGGAGAAGAGGAAGGGAGGGAAGGAGGGGAAGGGGCGCATTTCGTCATTTTGGCGCACCACTAATGCGTTGCGTTCATTGCGTCTACGTGGCTAGTGTGTACTCTCATGCTGGTCAGTGAAGAAGAGGGCGTTCGTCATGCACGGTTGTGTGAACCTGTGTGGGTTTTGTAAGTATGCAGACCTTTGGCTTTTATTCAGGCTTGTTTATGCTTTCTTTTGGAAGTACCTATTAGAATTTACTCCGGGCTCATAGGCAAATGTTCTACGCTAGTCTCGATTTGCAATAAATAGCTATTATTCTATAGTGAGTATTTCCTTTCGTGCTTCAATACCAAATTATTTAAGGTTTACATAGAAAGTGCAATTTGCTGGATGATAGCTTCGTGATAAGACCACTCTTCCAATGTTTGAGTAATTGGGTAGGCAGTCTTATTGGATGAAAGCATTTTCATTAGGTACACAGTAAGTCATAAGTAATTGTGAAGATTTTTACGAATAGAAATTGATTGATCGCTGGCACCCTTCCAACTGGTTATTGATAGAAAGACTCATTGATGCAGATAATACAGGGGCATGAAGGCTAAGTGAACTGCGTCCGTGAAGCGTGCCATGATCGTAGAATTCGTAGTATGTGCTTACGGATACGAATTGACTCCTATTATCTCGACTCTTCTCAGTGAACCATTGTAATAGCAATGGCATACTTACACTCTCTTACTTTCCATCCATATTGTGCAGCTTTGTCATTATCGTGCTCATATACGTATAAATGGCGTTTTATTTTTGATTGTTTTTCATTGCACTGATTTCGCACAGAGGTGTTCCGATCTAGCATCACACTTGATTATTTTTTTGTCATCAAACTTTCCATGGAAGCAACGAACTTCTGATTTGTATTTTTATGCTTTCAGAGATCAGTATTATCTAAAGATTTATTTGCCTACGCAAGGCTCTATTTGCATCGCTTGGACGGAAAGTAAGACGACGTAATTAGACTGAAGTGAAAAGATATTATGGCTCGCACTAAGCAGACAGCGCGTAAGTCAACTGGTGGCAAAGCTCCCAGGAAACAACTTGCTACTAAGGTTTCCTCCATTATTTTTGTGTTTGTTATTGATCAGGAATGCGATGCTTGAAATCATCACTAGGATTTTTAATGGTTAGGATATGAAATTCGATTAGATATTGATTTCCACATCTCTTTCGATATTGTAGGTCAAATGTTGTTTCGCAAATACGAAACATTTATTCAAATCGGTTTTTTTACTAATTTTCGTAATTACGTATTACGAAATTCCCTTAGACTGTAGAGTTTTTAGTAATCAAGTTCAAGTCAGTATCTTAGAACTCATATATTTATATCATCCGGAAAAAATTTCTATCACCCATAAGTACCTCTATCAATCTGTTAGTTTCTAAACAACTTCGCTACTCAGAGACGACTTTAAACACCATATGATGTGTCACCATTTAGAACTTTAAGAGATTCTATTTACTGATCCGAAATTTATTTCAGGCTGCTCGGAAATCAGCACCATCGACGGGTGGGGTCAAAAAGCCTCATCGCTACCGTCCAGGTACCGTTGCGCTTCGTGAGATTCGACGTTACCAAAAGTCAACGGAGTTGCTGATTCGCAAGCTGCCATTCCAGCGCTTGGTTCGCGAGATCGCTCAGGATTTCAAAACCGATCTTCGATTTCAGTCAGCTGCGATAGGTGCACTTCAAGTAAGCTACTTGAATATTGTCAAGGGATTAAACAATTTCCTCCGTTAACAGTACATGTCTCAAGTTTTACAAGTTGTCAATGTGGTCGACGTTTTCGTATTGCGCATCAAATTGCGTTAATACCACGCACGCACATTCTCTCTCCTATATAT